AGTCTCCTGCTGTCTCCAGGTGCGAGGAATCTTCACTCCGCAGACCACTACTGCGACGCTACCGACACAGCAAGGACGCCTTCGCACACCTACAGAACGCTGCAATGCCAACACCTGGACTCCGTCCCCGCTGAAAGCAGCTGCACGACCTGCTACACCCAGGCCTGCCTCCTGCAAAACCCCTCTCACACTCGTGTCGTCGCGTCCTGCGCAACAAACTACCGCACGTGTTTCGCTATAATCCGCAGCCGCACAACACGAATCGTCAATCTCCCCGCACGACGCACCATGCAAAAGAAGCTCCTCCCTGCTCTTGCAACCCACAGCTGGCTTGCCGCAACCCCGCACCCACTTCCTGCGCGAGCGTCAGTTCACAGCCAAACACTGCACTCCTTCGCGACACACTACCTAAAGGAAATGAGTCTTTGAAGCCCAGACAGTCTCCTGCTGTCTCCAGGTGCGAGGAATCTTCACTCCGCAGACCACTACTGCGACGCTACCGACACAGCAAGGACGCCTTCGCACACCTACAGAACGCTGCAATGCCAACACCTGGACTCCGTCCCCGCTGAAAACAGCTGCACGACCTGCTACACCCAGGCCCGCCTCCTGCAAAACCCCTCTCACACTCGTGTCGTCACGTCCTGCGCAACAAACCACCGCACGTGTTTCGCTATAATCCGCAGCCACACAACACGAATCGCCAATCACGTCGCACGACGCACCATGCAAAAGAAGCTCCTCCCTGCTCTTGCAACCCACAGCTGGCTTGCCGCAACCCCGCACCCACTTCCTGCGCGAGCGTCAGTTCACAGCCAAACACTGCACTCCTTCGCGACACACTACCTAAAGGAAATGAGTCTTTGAAGCCCAGACAGTCTCCTGCTGTCTCCAGGTGCGAGGAATCTTCACTCCGCAGACCACTACTGCGACGCTACCGACACAGCAAGGACGCCTTCGCACACCTACAGAACGCTGCAATGCCAACACCTGGACTCCGTCCCCGCTGAAAACATCTGCACGACCTGCCACACCCAGGCCCGCCTCCTGCAAAACCCCTCTCACACTC